ATGTTACAACAGACTTCATGTTCCGTATGTACATTTTATATCTTCTTGTAATTTTAATGTTACAACAGACTTCAGGTTCCGTATGTATATTTCATATCTTCCTGTAATTTCAATGTTACAACAGACTTTAGGTTCCGTATGTACATTTTATATCTTCTTGTAATTTCAATGTTACAAACAGACTTCAGGTTCCGTATGTATATTTTATATCTTCCTGTAATTTCAATGTTACAACAGACTTCAGGTTCCGTATGTACATTTTATATCTTCTTGTAATTTCAATGTTACAACAGACTTCAGGTTCCGTATGTATATTTTATATCTTCTTGTAATTTTAATATTACAACTGACTTCAGGTTCCGTATGTATATTTTATATCTTTCTGTACTTTTAATGTTACAACAGACTTCAGATTTTGTTTTAATATTTTTATATCTTCCTGTAATAAATGTCACAACAGACATCAGATTCTCATTGTAATAGTTGTATATCCTTCCGAAATAAATGCAACAAAAGACTTCAGGTTCTATTATCAATTTTTACATAATTCTTCAGTCATGTTCCTATATCTCCATATCTGAATGAGAAAACCGAATTTAAGTCCTGTTTTAAGATTTCTATCGCTCAGTAATTATATCACAACACACTTCAATTTCGAACATGTTGGTTTTTGTTGTGAAATATGTAATTGATGGTATAAAACTAGCTGTAAATTATATATTGTGTAATATTCTACATGAATAAATATTAGTTCTAAGATAACAAAATATCATATTACTGTAAACATTGAGAAACCATGATTTAAACCTGTCAATAATCAATACAATAAACAATAATCAAGTATTGATATAGCCTTTCATCACCATCATAATTGACAAGCGAAAATAACAGCTGGATCATCTTTTGTCTTCAAAATACCACTGGCCTACAGCACATAGTGTAACTTTATCTGGAGAAAATTATAGATGTAGGTACGAAATTCTACTCTTTAATATGTGACGTTAATAATATAGGATGGTATTCTTCGTGTAAACAGAAATTATCTTCGCATTTGCTCGGAATCTGTATATTGGACCAAAAGATCAGGTGAGCAGATAAAACAACAATGTCTTTCGTGAACATGTACGTGTGAATAATGAACAAAGCAAATCAAATTTCAAAACATTTGATATGTCTTTGTGACCCTCTCGGAGATTCCACGTAGCTAATAATGTATATGTGGTATATTTGTTACTCCGACTTGTTAGCTTCCATCTCAGTCCAAACATTTGTTAAAATTGAACTGTACTGCAATTTCGTCCGGATAACCTGAGCGTTGAGTTTGTCAACATTATCTGGTGTTTGGATTTTATGGATGGTCATAGAATAAATAAATTGGTGGTTTTAATTTTGACAATGTGCTAGTTAAGTAGTTTATTAGCCAATATTTGCAACCAAACCACTACTGACACATATTGCAGACTTGGTAACACATCCTTGTTTACATCTAGATAAAAAAAAATATTTTGAACATCCTACTACCTTGGTATTAATTTGACTAAAGAAGGCGGGCTTCGCCACAAAGTGTGTACTGAGAGTAATATTACCTGACAGGGGATTTAGCCTTTTTTGTTTCGTTTCAAATTTTATGGAGATCTGTAACATCCACAGTGTCAGCAGTCGTGGCTTTATTTATTGTCCTCTCCGAACGATTTATAACTTATGCCCACAGTTCTGTAGCGTTAGGGTGTATTGCGACGAGTCTCAATGAAAGCACTGGCCTAGGTCACAGAGCAATAGATAAGCCTATTAATTATGTGAAAATTAGTTAGTCATTAGTATGATTTTAGTTGAAAAGACACACACACAAAACATACACTGTATTTTATATAATATACTGTATATAGCCATGACACCGGTCCTGAAATAATTATCCCCTGAAATCTAACCTAGAAATCGATTAATCTATTGATATAACATGATACATTTACATGAAGAAATATCTGCTCCTAGGATGAATTGGCATTGTTCAATGGTTCAAGTCTACCGTGAAAGATGAAATTGCTAAGATTCTGATTTCTTTTGTAAGCTACAACCAAACGTTTTGTGTATACATGAAGAAATTTGTTCTGAAGTTCCGAGTAATGGCGTTTGACTATTATGGAGGCTTTAGTTGCTGTAGAATCAAATAGTGTGAGAGTGAATTAATAAAATGGGCGTATTGTACCCGAGTCCGTGCAGCGTGGGGTACAGGTCATATGCTAAGAATATTTATTTTATTCCTATCAGTCCATCTTTACTCAAACATGACCTAATATCTCAATTACGGTACGAAATCGTTTGGAAATTCTGAAGTAACTAAATGCCTACCATATTTGTTTATTTTTGTCCTTGATAATATGTATATGTGATCCATCCACACTATACACCAGGGACTCATAGTTCCTAAAGCTTCTTAAATATATACCAATAAACTATCGACAATTAGTCATGTGACTCACTCGTGACGAAGAAATGTCAACATGTTATGACTGCTATATCAGGACTCACTCCACTAATTCATTTACCATCTCTTCCCATGTTAAAACAAGAAATTCAACCTTCAACAACTTTTTCCAGAAATCTCGCATTTAGGTCTCTCATCATCTCACCAAATCTTAAAGATAATGCAATTTCAGACATCAAATTCCAAATCTAGACCAAAAATTACTCAAATATAGGCATGGAAAAACCCCAAAAGGGAGAGAGAAAGAAGATTTCTAAAAAATAGCCTGGACTACATTCGTACAAATCATTTGCATAAAATGTTTTAGTGGAGTGAGTCCATATATTATATTTCCCGAAAACTGACGATGAGCTCCCTTACCTTACCTCCACATCATAATTCATTTAATTCTGTCTGAATACTGAGAATATTATCACACCCTTTATAACACTGGTTCTTTATTCAATTCCATTTGGACTTAAGATGTGTCACGTGAAGAACTGTAGATAACTTTTTTTACGTGACGTAAAGTAAACCGTGCCACTTCAGTATATGTTTGCGACCTTGAGATAGATAGTAGTTTTTTATGCGTGATGTCATTAACCTACTTCATCCTGAAAGGTAAGGTCCTCTGATGCTCCCATTATCCCAGCTAGATTATTGTATAAAAACAGGCATCACTAATTTGTAAGCTTCCAAATTAAAATCACAAGGCAAAGAAATCACCATCAACATTGAACAGTTTCATCGAAATCGAAGTCTGATTTAATTGGCTAGAGATTGAGCCGAGGGAAATCTATACATTCTGAAAACGGGGTCTTACAACAACTGATGTAACCAAGAATTAATATGGGCGCGACAAGCCGTGAATACACGAAGTCTGTTCTCTACGGGAATGGGTTTTAGAGCCTGAATAAAATGGTAGTTAATTTTTGGAACAGATAATTTGACACAAATCTTACTAATCATCATGATTTTCCAATTTAACACTTACCCCATTTGAAGAGATTTACACCCGCCGGATAATTTATATAGTTCTAATTTGAAGCAGAAATATTGCTGTTATGCTCAATCCAATGTGAATTCTTAAGGCAATTAGAGACAAAAAAATAATGATCTTACCTGTATGAAGAAGTGTCAATATTATCTATTTGCTTTGTTATTTTTACAAACAAATCCAACAATCTAGACATCCCAAACACCACATTTCAGCAATGAATATTCAAACAAATGTAAGAAATGCACAGTTAAACAAAAAGGTCTTATTTAGCAAATAAGATGATTATAAAAAAAATTGTTGGCCTATTCAAAGATTTCAATAAGTTTTAAATTTATATACATTGATCTAGTTGAGAACTAGAAAACTAGAAAACAAAACCACTTAAGCTAAGGACGGCTAGTGGCATTTTTAAGAAAATGATGTGTAGAGCAAAGAGAAAATGACCAAATATCGTAAAACAACTCCAAAAAAAAGGGAAGGAAACTTATAAATCAAAAATAATAATTCATGGTTATAAACTTAAGACACCAATTCTTCATCAGTAGACCCTTCAGCCAGCCTGCTTCCTTGATGCACAATTGGTCAAGAACCACCAGACGTATAGAGCCGTGGGACAGGCCAATACAAACATTACCTAGGAGATGGAATACATGGATATGGGTTTTTCTGCTTTTGCAATGTGCCAAGTAAACCTGTGGTAATACTTGGTATGGAAACAATATAACTTTGCTACCTACAGGTATTAAATATAAATGCCATAAAACAAAGTGTTAATGCGGTTAAAATTTCAAAAAAGGAGCATAAAACATTGAAAAATATCTGAATACTAAATCTCATAAAAAAAAAACTCATTGAGCAATTAAAGATGGGTTCCCTTATTTATAAAAATAAAAATGCTAATATTTTTATGAATAGAGAGTAGAGGTGTTTTAGTGACTTTAGTTTGTCTCATATGTCCATAATTAATTCATAATTAGCTAAATTAGAAGAGAATTTCAGATCGCCAAGAAAATCGCCCCAGAACAAGTTTGGCATCATTGCAGCCTTTATTGTACAAAATATGATCAAGTATTGTGATATCATCGTGCGATTAGGTAACTTTTGGCAATCATTAGCAATGTCAACAAATATTGAAGGATATTGTGCGTGACATTCGAACAAGACGGTTGTGTTTAAGTTAGCTGTAGAAATCATTGATCCGTGTAGATATTTTGAGTGTACTTGTATTCGATTCTTCTCTTGAATTACATCAATTGACCTGAAGATACAACTGCATAATAACCGTAGAAACATTCAAGTTACAGCAGATGCTAAGTATATATGTTAACTTTAGAAAAATCAACATGCAAAATATTTGCTATAAACTTCGGTGATTATCGCTCATCTGGTGTACATGCACACGCCATTAATGAGGTCAAGAGGCAGACGGTCGTAGTAACCAATATCATACACCTCGTTATATTCATCGTACCTGTTGTAGGTATTTTGAAGATTCCTGATTATATTTTTTATAGAATTTGTTTTGCAAATTGAATTATGGACGCCATTTCAATGGACACAGCCGAGACATTTGTGAAAGAAGTAATGGCGACCCCCAGCATATCAACAAAAGCTGTGGTCCATGATGTAGATCTGGGAGAAAATAACAGATTTAGAGAAAGATTGTCGAGTAATAAAAGGTCTGCTGACGAGGTTACAGAGAATAATAGTGAAGATGAATCAGCTATGACTAAAAAGACGAGATGCGGACCTACATATTCTAACGAAAGTGAAAGCCCAGTAAGTAACATTAATTATATTGAAACTGGTGAAATATTGTCCGCCATCCATAATTTGGGTAAAATGATCAATACAAGGATAGACAATCTTGAAGATTCTCTTTCTGATAGAATTAAGGGCATTGTTCAACATGAGATGTCTGATATGAAAGCTGACATTGATTGTGAAATTTCCGAATTAGAAACGAAGATTTTGAAACTTGAAAACGAAAAGCTTGAAAGTAATAGAACATTAACTCATTATGTACACGAGCTTATAGAGACAATGAGTGCAAAATTACCGATGGAACTTGATAGCATTGTGATAAAAAATATGCCTGAACTTGCCTCAGAGGAAAACGATAATCGTGTTACAATAAATCGTGTGACTAAACTTTTTAAAGAAGGCCTGAAATTGCCCAATATAAACATTATAAACGCGGATAGGAAAAAAACATCATCACATAAACCCGGTGTGATAGTTGTCCAACTCCAAGACAGTGCACAAAAGAAACTAGTCTTAGAAACTAAATCAAAGTTGAACACTAATAAACAATTTGATAAAATTTATATAGAATCAAGTATGTCAACAGCTGAACTCAAAACTCAATCCAGCCTAATTACCCTAGTTAAAGAACTTAGTAATCAGGATTCATACTTTGTTAAAGGTAACAGTATCATGAAACGAAAATCTAATTCAGGAACAAGATTTTAGGGGCTACGACTATGTCATTGGAACTGTGCTGGATGGCCAGTTAAAAATGGTGATAGTGTTGTTTTTAGAGAATCTGTGATAAATGAAGGTCACTTTGATGTCTTGTTTTTATGTGAAACATTTTTACGTTTTAATGAAAAAATTGCAGTAAATGGATATAAGTGGCTTGGGAGAAACAGAGATATCACTCACAAGAAAGCGAAACGTGGTCCGGTGGTGTTGGGTTCTTAATTCGAAATAACATATATGACGAGTACCATGTGTCTGTTCTAGATGAATCCCTCGAAGATATCCTATGGATAAAACTCGCGCACAAACAGATAATAATTTCTATAACCTGTCCCCCAAGGAAAAAATTATCATGATCTTATCTAGTGATCTAGTCAACCCCAAAACTATAAGCAGTTATATATACGAGATGTTCTCTAGGAGAAATTATTATATGTCATATAATTATAGAACTTAATACTAAATTATACTGCCTCATAAGATTTTATTTTTATACTAATTTTATGTTGTACTGTTTTTAGATATTAAATCGTGTCTCATAGACCTATATGGTCGGACGATGATTAATTTATATGTAATTATTTAATGAATTTTATTTTATGTATATTTCATCGTGTGACACGTTAATAAACATTTCTTCTTCTTCTAGTATTGATTGTCTTTTTCTCACTCAACTACAATTTTTTGATAAATTATTCCTTTAGCTTTTTAGGCAAAGTGATCCCTATTGATTTTTATGAATTTAGTGATGATCAGAAACAACTTTGTATATTAGGGCGAGGCTGAAATTGTAAGATTGTGCCCAATATTCAGGCTATTATTCTTGACAGAATGTTATCATTTAGGATGAGTATGTATGAGTAAGGATGCCCCCTATCAAATTTGGCGACGATTGGAATATTCAGTGCTTGACTTTGTACAAAAGCAAAGTAAGTCTTGGAAACTGTTGTGTGCTGACATAATTGACGGCTACAGGATATTATTTTTGGGTGGATGTGGCGGGGGGCACTGCTGGAATATAAAGTTGGCGCAGATGGCGTTCCTCTTGGAAAATTTGGGAGAATATGGTCCTTAAATCTCTCTTCAAGAATTTCATTTCGACGTATTTGTGATATAGGCATGTACCAGCTTTCCTTTTTCTGATTCCGGTTTGATACCTTGGATATGTCATATGCGTCAACTTTTTTCACTTAATTAACACGAAGAAAAACCTGAGAAGAATTCGTCCAAGAAGATATCCTGGGATTATTAGATTAGGTTTAGAAAACACATTTACATCCACAGCGACTACCTTAGTATCGATACGTTTCTGTATATTTTCGGATATAATGCAGAAGTCTTTCAATTATTCAACAATATTCTTACTTTTGTCTTCCACATGCAATACCTAACACAAGCATTTCCTCACCGATACCTAAAAAACAATGGCCTTAACTTAACGTCATACCACTTATCTTACACAATTTACTATTTGGTAGGGTGTAAGATTATTTGGATGGTTTACTCTAGGAAGTGTCTGAAAACTTAGTTGGAATGGAATGGGTTGATCATTTCGGTTGGTAGATGTCAACTTAACGTTCGCTTCCGGCGGATGCTGATATCGCATACTATCTAGTTGTTGGTAGTCGTAGTAGTTGCTAGTTGGTAGTTGGATTGGTTCAAATTGGATGAGTGTTGTTGCTTTGGTTGTTAGTATACCATAACTACAATAGCCACTGTTCTAGTATCACGAAATGCCCCGAGTTGATCTGATTGCACGCCAGCGAATACAACCAGAGCCCTCAGAGCCCTCGACAAAAAGACTGTAAACGTTATGGCTTGATATTTCCAGATGTTTTTTCGGGGACTCTGATTGACTGTATTCACTGACGTAATATCCAATCAAATCGCTGCATTTAAAAACTGCTACTTCTACAAGAAAGGTAGCTATTGTAGTCGAGACCAAGTTCGCAATATCTTGAACATTGTGATATGGGATTTGATTAGTTACAAATGGTTTTAAATGACCAAACTTTACTCTAAAGGTATTTTATTTATATACAGATAGGTATTCCTTTACAAAATATGAAACGTTATTATGATTACAAACGCTTGATATTTGTGTTGCAATTAGTGGATTCTAGCACCATAGAAATCTAATATATTGATATATAAACTATATGACAAGACGTGTGGGTGTTTTCATACACAATTAATCTTCGATCACAGCCTATTAATCATATGAAGGTTGGTGGAGGACAATTGTCAGAATTTAATACCGACAATCAATAACGGACATAGAAGTTATAAATTTTTATAAAATCCTCCCTCGCATTAGTTTTATTAATTTACGTTTGCTCACTGTTTGAACTATGGTCTACATACTTTATAATGGGTTATATGATAGGTGTACTATAAATCAATTTATACGAGTATCTAGAATTAACCTCCTTCACATTTTGATAGTTTCACACAGCCTTTTCATAGATACAGGTCAATTTCCCATCGATGATGGTCTCCGAAGACAAACAATGCCGTCCATTGAACAATCTTGAAAAATCCTAGAATACAATCTCTATAGTAACAAGAATAATAAATCCGATTTATCATCAAATATAATGTAATGTTCAGTGGTGTATATTCTAAAAATCATTTGAGTTGGTCTATAAAAACATGATTTTTATTATTAAAATGCCATATATTACAATGGAAAAATTCACCTTTAAAATACACGAACAAATGCAATGTAGTTGAACTGAATGGACCTACGTAGAATTTAGTGTACTGTTTCCTTCATTATCCATGGTTGGTCTGTTAAAAACGTATTGTATTTTGCACTTAAACTGATATGACAGAAAGTGTGGGTTGGGTTAATAATTAATAATACATCATAGATTAAATCTCTTATTTATAAAACTGTTATTAATATGACAATTGGGGATGATGATTTATACGACGTATCCGACTGAGGTTATTTTGAAATTTTGGGAATCAATTAGAGGAACATGCAACAAATCAATCAATTAAATTAAGACCTTGTATTCTCGAACATGACAGTCGCTATAAACTATCTCTCAAATTATTAAAGCGGGATTATTTCAATTTTAATCGTTTTCTTTCCTTTTATTACCAGTACCGTTTCAATTTCATCTTTATTACTCAAGTTGATAATTGATGTAAACGAAGCATGAGAATATCTTCTATAACACCCAACACCAGTAATATTCCTCAGTGACTTGCCTCTAGCGGTGACATTTCAATAGCAATTCTTTACACTGACGCAATAAATTTTTGTCAAAATGAACACACTATAAGCTATAACCTTGTAAATAATGATAAACATCTCTCCAAAATTGAATAGTCTCATGTAAAAGTTGACATTGCCATATCAGTGAGTAATATGATAAATCTGTATCTTTCATCATTTCAGTTCAACAACAGATATTACATTAATATGAAATCTAAAATAACGATAGTCCAGAAATTTCCATATGAAGGACTGGTTAAATTATATTTCCCTTGAAAAAGTTACATGGAATGACATGCTGATGGAAATATCAATGGTAAATTATTGTTTAACCAAAAGGACTTTTTTCTGACCGAAAATATTGTAAAACCAGCATGTTTTCGTGTGTTTTTTTATTTGTCAATGTTCCGAAGAGTTGGCAACTGGAACAAAAGAAAGCAATTGTAAACTTCTGTCCAAATTGAAATTGAAAATAAAACCAATCAAATGTTAGTTACCTATTGGAGACTTCGATCATTTTTTCTCTTCATATTTCTTAAAATAATGAAAACAATAGATTTTATCATTTAATTATTTGTTGTTTTTTGATGACTTGAACCTATTTGTAAAGGTTTGTTTAACAAGTATGATATATTCATGTGCTTATTCACGAAAAATAGAACATTAATGTGTTGCGTGGCTCACTAATAAAGATAACACTTTTCAAGGTTTTCAGAATTATTCATGAAAAATTTATTGTTTTTTTAAGCCACTCGGTTACATACATGCAAGATATAATGCTTATCTACATGAGCAATTTTTATGTCTTATGAAGACTACGTTTTAAGGTCATATGTGAACACGTGTCGCGTTTTTTTTTAACTTAAGAGAGTGACAGGTTAAGATGAAAACATATGTAGCCAAACGATATTTCAATGTCAAAAATTTCATTTTGTAGAAACTATTTATATATCACATAATTATATTTTCTGTCGTTATGTGCTTCTCATTCGGAATTAATTTAAACCAACAAATTAGTTCATTATGTTTTGAGACCTCTTTGTGGATATAGACTTAGTTATATGTTTAAACATATATCATAACAAACATGGTCTGTCCAGTTCTTAGTTGCAATTTGAATTTATAAGTATGTTTTCGCCCTTATTGACTAATCACAAAATATTCAGATTGTTAGCTTAATATAGGACTTTATGCAATTGGGGTGACACATCTTTAATGAAACTGGTAGAAATGCGAACAGAGTTATAGAAATATGGAACTGCGCCAGGATGTCTACCTATTTTGATAAATGAACAACTACATGTCAATTTGTGTCACTAATTCTTTAGAACAATTAAAATTGATAAGATCTGTGATCGTACTTAAGACTAATTAGTGTTGATAGACTGTTAAATACACCTGCCCATGTTTCTTTCTTAATCCATAATTATGGCGTGATGATTACAACGTATGTTCGTGTATTATGAATAATTATCACGAATTCTTATATTATGATAACGTATTAAACATGTCTTTATGTTATATGAGAGATTTTTTTTATTGATGATCAATAAAGAGGTAATAATTAATCCATTGATCTCTCCGATAAATGTTCGTGCACATAATAAATCCTAAGATAAAGCGTACAACAGTATGTTGGTTACTAAGTATGTACGTTAAAGATCGACCTTCATTATCAAACATCTTTAACCGTGACAGAAAGTGTACACGCGCCTTATTGTCCCATGTTCATATTAAACATTCTTTACCGTGATAAAAATGGACACATGAATTATCACAGCTGGTTGGTATCAAACATCTTTCGTTCTAATAGAAAATAGAGACATGCCTTATTGTTATGTTGTTACAACAGCATGTTGGTTATCAAGGAAGTGTACGTTAAAGATCGATCAGCTACTTAACATCCTGTGCTGGGATAGAAGACACCTAACCCCTTGTTCATATTAAACATCTTTAACCGTGATAGAAAGTGTACACATGCCTTATTGTCCCATGTTCATATTAAACATTCTGTACCGTGATAAAAATGTACACATGAATTATCACAGCTGGTTGGTATCAAATATCTTTTGCTGTGATAGAAAATAGAGACATGCCTAATCACGTCTTGTTCACATTACTTTAACATCCTTTGCCGTGAAAGAAAACAGACTCATAACTTATCAATCCTTGATAATATTTATTAACACCCTTTATTCACATGACTTTTTGTTCATATTAAACTTTTCAGTGGTAGAAAATTGACACATGCCTTTCACGACTTATTATACATCTAATGACTTCTTGTTCACATAGGAACAATGGAGGTTAAGATTGAAAGGGAATAGGCAAGTTATCAACCCATCCATAGACAGTGTGATTATTCAGTCATGATAAAACTTCTCTCATAACGTGACGTAGTCAGTTTTCATTAGCCCAGTTATGTGATGAGCAAAATAAGAAAAACAGATAGAGTGACTAACACGGCAACAGACAACCACTTTACAGTGAATATACAACAATTATAACCAACCTTTATTTATTTGGTACGAGCTATGGTTGAGCACAAAATTTAAACGCTTATTGATGAATTTCATCAGTATCGATACTTATCATCCATTAGCGTTCATCCAAAAAATTACAAAATTCCGTCAAAATCAGGAACTGTGGAATCGAATGATTACAAGCAATAGTTCCACGTGTATTACAATTGCACTTAATTCTTAAGATCGATAGTTCTTGTTACTCTAATCCACAGATTTACGACATGTTATGGTTATAGTTCGAATTACACGTACTGACTCAGCATTTTTTTCGTTTGTAAAGAATGTCACTCCCACTAAACTAAACTATCCTTCTGTCTAAAGCCAAACGACTGAATTCAGCCAGATGTAACAGTCCTGCTTTCAGACTGACGGTTTCGACTTCCTCTCCAGACATCATCTGAATTGTTGTTTCTATGATCAGCTTGTTTTTGATCTTTGATTTTTTTTTTCGTTTTATCTTTTCAGCATTATCTTACGATTGACAAAACCATTATATCATCTCATGTAACCAAGTATGTTTGTATTGATAACTTGATTCTTTGGCCAATTGTGGTTTATCTCCAGAACCGAATAATAGATCTAATCTCAAAAAATTTCGACGCCTCAAAAGTTTATAAATTAACTATTATGGAATGTCAGATTCAATATGTGTAGGTACCAGTAGTTGATATAAAATATCATTTTCCGTCATACATCGAAATCAACTGGCTTTGGAATATGTCTCTCACTGTGACACCCAAAGTAGGTAAACAATCGTTTATCACACCCCTCATGATACGAATTGTTTTTGGCACTATTATATTCGACTTATCGTGACAAATTAATCTACTTGACACCAATGTCTAAAAGTGGTTGATTTCGAAAGCTTATCCATGCTTTATGCTTGATAATATTCGTATCCATCCTAAAATAAGAACAAAGATGAAAACAGTAGGCCTTTCGAACTGAATTCCATATGATATTTATAGCACTCTTATACGTTACAATCAGGGTTTATATGTAATTCTTTGGGGTCCTCAGACCAGTTAATTCACGCAGACTAAATAACAACAGTGAATATTATTATTATACAAGTTATGTCTATGGCGCTGAATCTGAGAACTTATATAAGTTATGAATTGGCTTTTTTATTTTTGCTACCAGATTTCAACACTTATCTGTCAACGTTCCAAACCATCACAACTTTCAACCTAAATCATATTAAGTACTTCAATTTTTATATCTTTTAATAGATCAAGTTCTTCCAATTCATTACAATTTCCCTGACACGTGAAATAAGAATTACTGAGTTTATAAGGAAACTCAGTGAAGTAAACTGGAAGTAATATTTCACCGAGATCTTGGTGTTACATCAATGTCAATTTAAAGAGTTTCGGGAAAACAATGACAGCTATTTTAGTATTCTGTAGAGGTACTTTTACCTCTTGCAGGATCGATGTTCTAATTGATTTGGCACATTGTGAATGGACCTAGTCAACCATTGAGAATATCTTGAAGAAGTCTATCGAAGATGATTAAGTTTGAATCACTGTTACCAGCTTGAAGAGCAGTATATTGATTGGTTGATACTTAAACCAATGACATATCGTTGTCATGGAATCGGTGACTGACGTCATGAATTTTTAATGGAATCTTGTCTGTATTCTATGTTAAAGACTGGTCTCCGATCATAGTGAATGAAACTACGTTAAAGACAAGTTGCGCTTCTTCTGTTACAACATTTCTAAAGCGTTAAGACCAAACTTTACGGATTCTCTGTTTCCAATTTTCAGCAAGTTATTACAAACAACTTTTTATTGTCAAAATGCATTTTACGCAAATTTATGGATGTGTTTTCTCCATTCTGGTTTTGGAGTGTGTATGGGCAGCCCCAGTTGCTGAAAAGATAAATCCAGGTGAGTTATAAACCCTTTACCTGAAGTAAGTTGAAAAAAAGGTTATTATTAGTCTTTAGGTTCTTAAAAATCTAATTTGGCTACTTCATGTTAATTAAAAGACCCATAGAATAGAAACCATATTTAAAAAATGGATCAAAATCTTATGGTATACTACTTCTGGGTTTTATGTAAACAACGCTGTCAAAACGTTTCAACAATTTACATTGACATCATCATTTCACCTGTTGATGACTGTGTAAATTGTTGAAACGCTTTATACAATAAAAACCAAGAGTAGTTATCTAATTCTAGACAAAAAATTCTAAAGTTTCAAAAGAGCGCATTAAAAGTTATTAGAAGTTAGACATTATTGATAATAGTTTATAATAGTGCGACAGTGAAGGCAGTCGTTAGACATTATTTAACTTTATTAAATTTGTTTCTGTGAGAAAATCTCCGGCATTGTTACTTCTGTGAGAATATTTTCGTTCTTTACTCAAGATATTTTGTTTGTCATGCTTCACCTATCATTCCACCAATTCTTCTGTAGAACATTAAATATTCGAAGATAAGTAAATGCTTTTAAAGGCAAATGCTTGTGCAAAGAAAATGGTATTAACATTTTGTATCTCTCATTATATTTTCATCAAGGATACATTTTTCAGCGAGATTCTTTTTTCTCCATTTAACTATCTAAATACCTTAGTCGCTATTGCGGGTTAGAGAAAAACGTTAACCATATGGTTAACATTCTCTATCCGACCCGGGGTGTTATTCTTAATCTCCGTCATCTCGAACCATATGTTCGACTTTCTTTCAGTTGTCCGCCTTCAACCTAGAAGTTTTTCTTTCAGCATTCCGTCTTCATCTTTTCTTTCAGCAGTCTGTCTTCTTCTTTTCTTTCAGCAGTCCTTCTTCATCTTTTCTTTCAGCAGTCTGTCTCCATCTTTTCTTTCAGCAATCTGTCTCCATCTTTTCTTTCAGCAATCTGTCTCCATCTTTTCTTTCAGCAATCTGTCTCCATCTTTTCTTTCAGCAATCTGTCTCCATCTTTTCTTTCAGCAATCTGTCTCCATCTTTTCTTTCAGCAGTCCGTTTTCATTTTTTCTTTCAGCAATCTGTCTCCATCTTTTCTTTCAGCAATCTGTCTCCATCTTTTCTTTCAGCAATCTGTCTCCATCTTTACTTTCAGCAGTCCGTCTTCATTTTCGGCAGTCTGCCTTCATCTTTTCTTTCAGCAGTCTGCCTTCATCTTTCCTTTCAGCAGTCTGCCTTCATCTTTCCTTTCAGCAGTCTGCCTTCATCTTTCCTTTCAGCAGTCTGCCTTCATCTTTTCTTTCAGCAGTCTGCCTTCATCTTTCCTTTCAGCAGTCCGTCTTCATTTTCAGCAGTCCGTCTTCATCTTTTCTTTCAGCAGTCCGTCTTTTTTTTTTCAGCAGTCCGTCTGCATCTTTTCTTTCAGCAGTCTGCTTACATCTTTTCCTTCAGCAGTCTGCCTACATCTTTTCTTTCAGCAGTCTGCCTTCATCTTTTCTTTCAGCAGTCTGTATTCACCTTTTCTTTCAGCAGTCCGTCTTCATCTTTTCTTTCAGCAATCTGTCTTTAGAATTTGTTCAAACATTCTGTCGTAAACTTGCATTCAGAAGTTTTCAATTCTTCTTTTTGCAATCTGTTTTCTCAGTTTAGCCCCAAAAGTAGTCTGTTTCACTATTATGGCAACATCTGTACATTGTTTGAATATAGTGTTTTCCCCTTAGGCTAATTAGTCTGTTTTCAGTTTTATAATTATACTATATCGTCGCGAATTCTCCTGTGGTAAATCTTTTTCACTCTTCTTCAAAACATCTCGTATTACTCGGACTTCAACTTTTATCTGATAGTTGTTAATCTTCAATTCTTATCTCTCAGTAATATTTCAGTATTCCATCTAAGTAAATCATCTCTCATTAGACCGCCTCAAATTATCTCTCAGTAGTATATTATCAAATCATCTCTCAGTATAGTACTTCTTCAAGTCATCTCTAAGTAGTACTTCTTCAAGTCATCTGTAAGTAGTATATTATCAAATCATCTCTCAGTAGTACTTCTTCAAGTCATCTGTAAGTAGTATATTATCAAATCATCTCTCAGTAGTACTTCTTCAAGTCATCTGTAAGTAGTACTTCTTCAAGTCATCTGTAAGTAGTACTTCTTCAAGTCATCTGTAAGTAGTACTTCTTCAAGTCATCTGTAAGTAGTACTTCTTCAGTCCTATACTTCAGAAAATAATTTCCTGTTTAAATTTTGTACAAGAGATGTATGAAAATGATTACAAAGCTTAATTGAATTTTTATGCAGTAACGAGGAGACTAGTAGGATGTGTAGGTTGATATTATAGAATTAAGAGCAGGACGTAGGATGTAACTCATCAACAGTTCGCCAATGTCATTTTAGTTGATGTCGACTTTAAGTGCCTTATATAAATTATTGATTCCAATGTTGCAGTTTTTCTGATTATATTGTATCATGTACATTATCTCATTAAGATGAAAACAGATGTTCATTATCTGTTCCTATAGCATTTCATATGGATGCTTTAAGAAGAAATAGCATGTGGTCCATGCTCTTCAAGTAGTCGATCAAACCTACAATCAAGGTCCAGGGCATAACGAAACATTCAGAACATAATTGGCTGTATTGTCACCATGATCGTAAGAAATATATACATGTTTATACTGAAAAAGGTAAATGGAAAGTGTCTCTTTCAGTGACTAAGACAAATTTCACACATTTTCGCTGTAGGATTTCTTCAGGATACATTTTCAACAGAATAAAATGTGTTATGCCAGTTCTTGATCGTCTTCCTTTAACAAAAATAACCGCTTTCATAAAATAATCAGTGTACAACTTTTACATTTAATAAATCTTGAGTCGATCTGAATCGAAAAAAGATCTGATTCATATTATAGCGGTCACATTCTATCGACATACACTTGAATTTAATCTGCCCAAGGCTTTACAGCAGATTGTTTTGACAGTGTGTTCAGAGAATATTATACAAAGATATATACCAAGTTTACAACGCATTATTTCCCAATCATCTTTTAATGAAGGAATGCTTTACGACATAGTTTTCACGATTTCCTGAGAAAAAAAGTAGGTCGATTGATCCTAATTTATAAGAAAAAGACAAGGTAATTGGATATGACAACGAATCGATAAAAAGGCCTCTAGGTTCACAATTTTAGATCAGAAAATGATAAATTTAGAAGTGTCCTTTTTCCTTCGATATTGATTCTTAAAATTCAGTTATTGCTTTACGGTATGTCAACGTGCCTCTTCTAATTGGCAACAATGTGTACAAATTCAACCAAACAAGAGAAGGTTTTTTGGCGTTAGTCTTACCGTCACACATTTCCAACTGTCTATTGAACAGGATGCTAAAGGTGTACTCGCCAGAGCATACGTCTGACACACCTTCATTTAAATATAAAGTCAACTAAAAACAATGCGTCAGCCCAAATCACATAAACATCGCCTCATCACACAACTACTAGTAGCATAGTTGTTGAAAATACGTACATGGCGGCATTGAAATAACTAACTATAGTATTGTTCTATTTCTGTTATTGTTCATTGAACTATGGCATTAAGCAGACTGTTGTTATCTTGATAAATGCTAATTATGGGAATATTATTCAATTCACACCTGTTCCCTGACATATCATAGTTTCTATGACAACAAAAAGCATTAATTATCACTTAATGCTCCCCTGTTACCGTTCCTCTAATAATAATCATGCTGTCAATAGGAATGGTATGAACAAACGGATGCTGCTGCTAATGGTGGTCTTTTAGCAAAGATGTACTAATAGAAATAATATTCTTTAAAGTTTTTACTGATGTCCCTCGAATCTTTTTTAGTTGTTACCCTTTTCTTACCATATATATATGTAAAAGTTGATTTTAGTTCATCATTAAAAGGTTCGCTTGTTTCTCTATCACTTCATCTTATTCCTGTTGTTCCTGTATCAGAGCTTCATAATATATTAAATACTGATATCGCTATACCTGTATTATCTCCACCTTATCTTTGAGGCATATTTCAAGTTTCTGCATCTATATCTTTATTTTCTCCAGTATCGCCTATTATTTTGAATAGGTACCATTTAAGTTTTACTCAATATAGAATTCATTTATTGATTGACCTTTTTATGGTGGTGATGTTTTCCAAATTACGTAATTTATTATCTTTGGTTCGTTCTAGAACTTTTTTTTACCAGTAATCATAATGATATAATACTGTTTTACAAAATCGCAGTCAGAAAGAAGGTATCCCGAAACGAAGATTTAGAATTATATAGGTATCCGTGATAAAACTAAACGCTCTCTTTCCAGTTCGTCAGATTAATCCACGATAGAATGAAAATGAATGTTGTTATGCAAATATGATGTTAGACAAGCATGTTGTAATGGAAACAGGATGTGAGACAAACATGTTGTTATTCAAAAATGATTTTAGACAAACATTTGTTTATGCAAACATGATGTAGGACAAACATTTTGCTTATGGAAATCAAAGTTACAATAAACTTAAGGAATTACATTTTACAATTACATTTTCTATCATAATAATCATACTCTTTGATTATGCAAAAATAACTTCTCTTCTAATAATTATCTGCCTATTCTGGTATTTGGTTCCACATCTATAATCTATCAAAAAATTATACCGTCTCTTTCAATGGTTTTGTTCCAGAAATAATAATTTCCATTATTATAATCAAATTGTTTATTCAAGTTATCTTGTATTTTGTTTAAATAAGCGAAAGTATCCTCAGAGCTTATTCCTACAATAACACTCTATTATTTTTAAGCTGGCATTTTGTACCATTAATGCATCTGTCTGTTCTAGTAAAGTGGACCCTATTCATATTTCCATTATCAGAAATCTTATGCTTTTAAGACTCTATTCCAGTAATCCGAGTCTTCGTTTCAATTATCAAGGGCCCTAATTCTTTAATCGAGGACTTGGTAGACATGATCACGTTGTCATATTCACTGTTGCAGAAATCATACTTTCTGTTCGAGCTTTAGTATTTTCTGTAATAAACTTCTGTTTATGAAATCGTTCTATAATCACACTATCTACCTCTTCACAGATGCTCTTTCACACAACCAACAAAAAAACAATCAACATGATAAAGTCGGGAATTTTTTTCCTTCAAGAGCAATATAATTTTTAATTATTTCTTCATGATTTGATTTTATTATAGATCATTATATTTTGTTCTCGCCAACCTGGACAACCATTTCTTACATTGTTGTTTTCTATTTACAGCAATGAAAAAAAGAAGTTCCAGTGACATTTTAGATCAAGAAAAGCAACTTAAAAGTCTGTTGTCCTTAGCAGGTAGATAGGTCATATTCTTTTAACAAATAATCATCCAGGATCAGTAGTTTTAGAATGTTCACAGCTTTAAACTTCGGACCTGACGCATATCTACACTAACAATGAAGCTGATTAAATTTTAACACGGAATACAACTCATCCATCAATATTAGAAGTTTAATCCAATCTTCCGTAGATTTTTCTCTCCTTTTTCTTAAAAATACGTAATTGATCTAGAATAAAGCATAAGTTATTGTGGCAACTGATATCTTACAGCTTTCCACTTTCCCTTTTTCAGTGATATTGTTTTACACTGAATTTATTTAATGAATTGTGTATTGTCACCCGGGAAAATACATCTTAAGTGTTAATAAAAAAAGTAGATAGATACTTTTGAAATTCTTTTTGAAAGTATTGATTATTATTTACCTCTACCTTCTAGAGCCTAAAAATAGTGCACCCTTGTGGTTTGAACAATCTTATAAGATGACAATTTTACTATTTTCTAAAAGAGTTGAATATTACTAGTGGAGATCTATATAACGAAGATAGTTGGATATCGTGACGGTCTCAATTAATTATTTCTTCTAACGTCCCATTAGCATTTCTTTTAAGACTTAACGACATTGTAGTTTGTTGTTAATGAATATTTTAGGTAACAATATCCCCATGCCGAATGTTGCTGTTCAGAAAAGTCATGTAGCCCATGTGGAAACAGTAAATGGACAAGAAGTAAAGCATGAAGCAATAGAAGAAAAAGGTAGGAATTTATATTCTGTAGTTAATTCTACATATATATGAACTTGGTTAGAATTTTTCTTGAATGATGAGGAAAACAATATCGTTCCGGGTTCTACAGATTCGTTAATTATATTCTATTTATTCTTTTGTTCCAATATATATCATAGTTTTTAAACCTTATAATTATATTATAGTTACCGACACCCAGACTGGTGCTGTAGTCTCGGATATCAAACAAGATGTTACAGAGAATGATGCTACAGGCGGCGCAGAACCACAGAAGGTAGTAAAGACAAAGGTTGACATCCCAGCTGAAGGCATTCATAAAACTATCGTCCAAAATGCACAAAAGGTAAGGAACGTCAAATATCCTATGTTTAATGAACAACGTGATATCTGGATAATCTTCTTCAGAATATAGTAACAACAGCACTTGCTTATACAGCAACCTTTACAGTTATAAACTACTTTATCCAGATATTTCTGGGTTCTGTACTAATAGGTGTTTTATTGTTGTGTGAATTTGATTGTTTTTGTAATATTTTGTAAACAGCAACAGATATTCTTAATATCTGCTCTACGTGACAATATTTAGTGCTAGGCGGTGTGACCCTGGAAATCAATATACCGATCGTTCGTGATGTTATAATCCAACATAATCCACCTCAGAGTCATAATATTTCATTGTACTATTAGAGCAGCTTTGGAAAGTTTTAAAGCTCAACACTGTCATAATACCATTTGAGCTGACGTTTATCATCCATTGTGAACACTTGAACCTTTATTACTGTAATATAATAGTTAATATAAGATTAATACACAGAACTAGTATCAATAACTGTCATCTTAGATTATCAATATATGAAGAACGACGTCATCAGTTACTATTATTAAAACTAATGAAAGCTCGTCTTAATGACTGTCGCTAGGTTCGTCATTTTATTGTAAATACAGATTATTGTGATTACACACGATTAAATCATAATGAAAGTTCCGTGATGTGTTATGCTGTTGTATAAGGGATATCTATTTGTACCATTCCAATTTTAAGTCGGTCGTCTGTGTTGCGTGCAATTCCCCAAAAACTAAGTGTTTGATGACGTCACTAATCGCAAAATAAATATGCACTATTACATTCGCTGTTCCCGATTAATGACGTCATCAAAACAGAAAATTTGAAATGAACAAATTGATGCTATCAGTATCCCCGATACATATACGCATTAAATATATACGATATTCGAAGAACTCGATGTGGACAAGTAAGGAGTGGTTAATCCAACAAAGAATCTTGTGGTACGATTGGATAAACTCCCAAGCACAAACCTTTTTCTTGTATTATCGATAAACACCTTCCAAGACATATAACACGCAAGCACGACCAAAATTAAATAATAAGATTTCATGATGTTTGCCCTATTAAGTTTTAATAATGGGTTATTTATCACGCAATGTTGATCGAATTCGAATTTGTTCCTTTTTCAGACAAATTTCCTTCATTTGAATGCCACATTTCATCTTTTCAGAATAGATCTATTTCTGTTTATTCTTTCTATTAAACCTATTTACGATGTCTTTATGATATTAAATAGAGGTTTTGAATCTTCAGAAGTATTCTTATAACAGAAACAAAAACCCTTTAGCGTTCTCCTAAATGCATTTATATGGTAACATTAAATCGTATTCATCTCACAAGGCTTGCATAAATTCAATTTTAGAACCTCTATTCCACACGCTAGAGGAAAAGCTTCTCATTACCCTTGCTAGTAATTTCCAAACTCATTTTGTGGAGGCATTATAAATAAAAGAGAATCTTGAAGAGACATCGACTGAATGATAGTAATCTTGCTTTTGTTACCTTGCCATGAGATAATCTCTGTAGCTTTAATGAAAATTAATCAATGTATAAAGGAATCGGTCAATAGATGTGGCTATATTTGGACACGAAACATTCTGTTTTTGACACGCGTTAAATGGATAATGAAATACCAATCAATACCAGATTCAAATTGAAAGATATTTGTGTCGTTTCTTTAGGTTTAAAATATCTCAATTTACACAGATTGACGTCATGATTTATGTTGACGTCACGTATATTTCCTCCCACTCAAATCCGTCAGATCAATATGGGAAAGAGATCTGTTGAGAATAATAATGTATCAACAATAACACGCGCTACATGACGTGACTGTAGAGTTAACATTGATCGTACTAAAATGACTCTTCTAATATTTGTTGTAATTTCCTATTTCAGAGTGAAGTTGATGAAAGTCTGGCTTTAACGCCTACTGACGTGGCTCAATATCTTCTTGAGACTGGTGAATTCCAGAATTTTTATTCAGCCATCCAAGATCTCATTAATTCCAATGTTGTAAGTGTTTTTCTTCTTAGCCTTTTATCACCACCCCCTAATTTCATAAAAGTGACCTACACTTTGTGGTGCAGAAGCTTTTCTTTAAATACATCTGATCAACTTCAACAGAAATTCAGAGAACATATAAAAAGTAGCCTACTTTTGTTTAAGTTTTTAACTATCAATGATAATGATAAATATGAAGTTTAGTATGGGATAGGTAACACGTTCAACATCTTTACAAACACGTGGAGTATAATGGATTGGATTGATGATTTATGTATATGTTTATACCGGCCTCTAAGGAACACTATATTCTTGCGTAATCAGTCTAGAAAAAAAATGTCAGAGTGATACATTTAGTTCATTATGGATAAAATGTTAACACAATCTCTGCTTTCAGACAGTGTCAAGCTCTATTTTCTGTATGCCTTTAACACTAACAATGTATACTTTATAAGTCTTCTTCCATTAGTGAGGGTGTTCTTCGATCAGAAACTGTCTGAGTGCTAAATAATATTCATTCATGCTGATAAGACTATCGGATACTATATATGACGATATAGATTGCAGACAAGATCCATTAATTTGACACGATAGTTGCCTTTCAATCATGACCATTTGGCGAAGAAAAAAATGATATCTAAACAATGTGCACCATGTTTCCAATTGCGTTGTTGATTTCAAGCAATAAGTGGGCGTGGCAGGTAACAGCGTTTACCCAAATAGCATCATAAATCACTTATTTCGTTCTAGTCTGCGGACCAGAGTTTGCTAGTCGGATAAGTGGCTAGGACTTAATTATTGGTTTAATTAAATCATTATCAATAATTACAGATGACACAAGAAGAAGCCGAAGCTTATCAACAAGAAGTTATGAACGAATACCAAAGACTATTAGCTGAAATCGATGCTTACCAAGCCGAATTAGCTGTAAGTTGATTTTCATATTTCATCCATCCTAAACCAATGAAAATTAAAAGCCCGTAGATTTATCTGGCATAGAAAAAATGTAGTTAATTTAATTGATACAGTTAAGATTGGGGTTCATTCCATCACAATCCAGATTAGTTTCGCTATTAAATGTGTTTTTAACAACATACAATAAAGATAATTAGTGAGAAATATGAAATTCTAATTTGAGATTAATTCATGTTTAATGGATGATTTTATCTCGCCCTATAATATCTTCAAATTAAAAACTGATTAGCGACTATAGCTATTACTCTATAAAGATCATGTCTATTTCGAATCATCAGAGCTTATGGATGTAGACTCGTTGGCAATCATGCTAATTTATGTTATGGCGAAAACTAGTATGTAGTCATGTGTATATTAAATATGCAATGTGATTTTGCTGTATTCAATATTGTTTTTCATAATCAGCAACAGGAAGAAGCTTTACCCGTCTACTATCCACCACCATTCCCCGGTCAAGTACCACAAAAGAAATCAGATTTATATGCATACCAAGGTGGTTTCCTCCCAGAAGATTTATCTCCTCAAAATCAACAAGCCATTCAAGAGGCTTTATTAAATAACGAGAAATCTTTGAACGAAGCTATTGATTCATTATTAGAAGCTTGGTGGAATCAGGCTTTCGAAGCAGGTTAGTACCGATGAATGTCTTTCAAGGGTTTACTGTAAAGCATAAGAAATTATATTTCTATCCGGTATGTTAATGTAGATCAGACTTGAGTTTAACTGTCGATCTGCATTCCCATCACTTCATTATTTACTCATTACATAAACTTTACAATAAACGGTATGTTAATTACAGGTGACTCTCGTGCCCAAGCTCTAGTAGAATATTTATATAACATTGTATCAAAAGATGATGATTTAGATGATATGGGACAAATCAAAGAAATTGTTGGTAAGTTCATAAATTCATACCATACAAACCATTGTCAATTGGATATACCTAAAAGAAAGGCTAGTGGACAAACAGCCCTTGTTTTGAAATATACACTACATGGCAAAATAACAATATTTTAAATTCGAAAGAGATCAAACACTTTCCTTTAACTGCCAAATTTTAACTGCCTAGATTTTTTACGACAATACAAATTTAGATTGCATTGAAAATATATTGGTTTGATTAATGTGTATTACAGCTAAAATGTTAGCTAGAGCTGTGATGGAAGATTTATCTGTTGAAAGCCAACCAGAATTATTAGAAAACGTTGTCGGCTCTGAAAGTTCACAAGAATCAGAAGAAAGCGATGAATCTGCTGAAGAAGAAGCACCTCAACAATCAAGCAGCGAAGAAGATTCCGAGGAAGGGGATGAATCAGATGATAAAACAGAAGAGTCAGAGTCACAAGAAGAGTCAAATGAGGAAGTTTCTTCAGAAGAGGTTGTACCACCCGGTAAGCATTTAATTAGAACACTTATCCTTAATAGCACAGAAACCGATGTAATACTTAAACATATTTTAAAACCATGTTAACGGAAGCATTAAGAAGTTGACCACTCTGGAAAGTTTGAGTTTTAGCCAGGTTTCTTAAGAATTATTTAATTACATAAAAAAAACTGTTTTCGCAAAACGTCATCACTAATGTCTTTTTTTTTATTAGCAGCATCAGCACAAACAGAAGATAAATCGGCGAAGATGTAAACTATGAGTTGGGTTGTATATTGATGGTGAAGAGATTATATTTTGCAGAAGAATTATATGAAAGATGATATTTTTTAATGATTATTCAAAGAAGCCATATCTGCTGAAATTTAATTGATTTTGGACAATTTTGAATTAAAATGCCAATTACCTGATTACGCTGAAGAAAGAATTTTAAGACCATGTTAATTTGAACTTTCTGAAATCCCATGATATAATCAGACGTCTTCAATTATTTTTTTAAACTTAAACGATTTTATAATGGTATTCCACAACTTCTAGTTATATTTGACTGTACAATATTAAAGAAGAGTTCATGTTCGAGAATTTTTCTGTTTTTACCATCTGTTCGTAAATCCAAATGCTTTTCTGTCAATTGATCCATTGAACATTCCGATATATGATCCAAAACATTCCAGATCTTTCCTGTATTCAGACCGAGACTTTGATTCTCGAACATGAACCTCTTTCACCATGGTGGACAACATGCCTTAAAATATAATTGTCACTTGTTATTGTTTTGTTTTGTGTATATTATTGGCATGTTATATGATGCTGTTATAGTTCCGGAGATGTCAACCTCACACTTATCTACTTGGCCCTAGAGCTTGATCATCTGGGTTCAAGCAACCAATGGACATGAAATAATATGCTGGAACATATCGTGTGAGTACTTTCGCAGATGACGGAATATTGAACAATTTCAGAAATGAATGTCTAGATGGTGTTGATGATAATGAATAATTGTTAATCAAGGTTGTGTTTAAGTGTAGTGTCCAAATCAAACACTTTTATTAATCCTATCAAAGACCACTGTGTCAAAACACACTCCAAAATAACTTCTAAGATAAACTGTTTTCTCATTTTTAACCCTTTCTTTGAAACAAAGGGCTGAAATAAGCTTTACCTTGATCTCGAAATTGTCCACTGTGACTTTTATTGCTTCATTGTTCTCGAAAATGTAACAAAATAATATCCAGATTTTCGTGAAGAATAACAAATATGTTAGTCATCTGGTTGCTTGATTACCTGAAGCTAAATGTTCCAGGACAAGCGCCTCAGCAATTTGGGATGTTGTTCTTGTCACAACAAATTAACCAAAGTTTATCAGACTTGATCATAACTTAGTTATAATGGAAACCCAGTGACATTACTTGAATATTATATATCGATATTATCCCTTATATTGTTATTGTTTGCATTTTTGTAAACTTTGTAAATATTTATTCCTTTTATGATTCCTATTGTCGGTGCTGATGCAGATATGTGCGTTTTCTTTTAAATAAACAGAACTAGATCTCCATTTAAAGCTTAAACAGAGATAATGAGATATGCAGCTTCATTTACTTTCCATAATACTATCTCAATATCGTTTCGGGTTCCATTAGCTTTAAACACTCAAGGTTAATTGGGCCTATCACGTCTGAATACCTACGCATGAAACGTCTAATACTTTTTAACGATTTTAAATTTGGCTATCCTTAATACGACTTTTATTGTACTCTATTAACTGTACATATAACATATAACAATTCTGTACTATTTATACTTTTTTAAAAGGTATAGTCCTTTACTAAATCTGCTTATGGTTTTTAAACTCTCTAAAAGAAGAGTAGTTCTGCTTGGTATCGTTGCTGATATTATGTATATATTTTGACATATTGAGATATTTATTTATAACTGTTAAAACAATTATTGTTAACAATTCACTGTACAGTGTACAGTATTCAAATAAATTTTATTTAACAAAATAACACAGTTGTTTCCGTTAAATCATTGACTTGGATCTGGCATTGATTTATGAAAACGTACACCTCTGTAACGACCATATTATATATACACAATGTTATCGTTTTGTCAAGCCATGGTTGTGTTGTAATAAATCCAAAAAATTCCAAGTTCTTTGACATTATTGATCTTTCATCACCTTTTACTTAAGCAAATCTAAATAACTACGTGTATATAAAGAATGGATATACTAGCTCAGTTGTCTTTCCAATACAGATTGCCCTGTGTTCATTACCTTGAAATACAACCGGAAATGGGCTAAAATTCCAATAATTAAATTATATGTATATTGTCTAATGTTAGATACATGGCAACCCAAAGCCATTGTTGTAGACCCAATAATTAACAATTACATCTACCTTTCAGTACACAGATTTACACACCCACACATATCATATCAAGTGATTCAGGTCTATTTGCGAGAGTATAGAGAGCACGATGATCTTGCTATCCATTTCGATAGAGCCAATACCATATTACTGAAATAATAAAAGATGAAAGATAGGAAAATATTCTCTGTCGGGCAAAGGAAATTATTTAAACAATGTGATAAAGAACACTGTTTCTAAATTTGTCTTGAATTAGTAGCCATTTTGAACGTAAAGTATAGAAGTAATAAATTCAATTATTATCTGTTCCAGAAATAGCCTTAGTGTATACTTCACATGATCGATTTTGTCTAGAATTTAAACATAAAACACGGTATTAATCAGATGCGACGACTCGATCTATTGGAAATTATGAGAGTAGCGAGACCAATATAGATTGATCATTGTTGCTTATCGGAACCATCTTTTGTATTTCTACTGGAGTAAAAATATTGCGTGGGCGATATATTTCTTTATTGCTTTATCTCACGAAATGTCAACTATATTATAACCGCCTACTGATTTATCTAATGTTAGATTACTCAAATTCTTATTCTTATGCTTCCATATTTTCAATGGCATTTTAGCCATGCATTATATAAAATTTGTTTCGATGAATGATATACAATCAGTTCAATTAAATATTTTTTCGGGTAAACTTTCACTGTTGGTGCGTTGCGACACCGGAATGTATGAATCAGACAATTCATATGCCAAAGGCTACCACATATGTTGGGACACTTCAAGGAGTTCTTAATATGCTACGAATGCGATCCTTCTATTTGCTGCACGGACTTAGGGCTTTGAATATATCGGATGTTCAGAAGCATGTCTAAAGTTCGACTGGTAGTATCTGAGTTGTTTGCAAACTGATCTCTTGCCAAATTCTCACAGATAAACGTCAAAATGTCGTTGTCCAACCCTGAAAATATGAAAGTACTGTCTGAAAGTAATGCCTTTTTTTTCACACTCCGTACAAGAATACGAATGTGGCGAAAAAGAATACCATAAATAGTATAGAGCGTACAATAGTTTAGAATAGGTTAGAAATGGTTATAAATCACAGAACAAAATCGATCAGAATGAAAGTGACCTATTAGACTAGCCGACAATCGCTATTTCAAATTCTTGTAGTATTTAAACTTCAGTGTCGAGCGATTCCACTTAAAGTTTAATTCCTCTGGTGAATTAAGCATACCAACCAAGAATAAGAAGTCACATTAACAAGTGAGGTGGCGGAAATTTCTATTTGGTCTGAGAACGACTTTTATTTTCTCAGCACGCTTCGATGGCTTATTTGACAAGAAAGGAGCTTTTGACATTTAGTTGACATTTGAGCTGTAATTGAAGATTCCAGAAAGGTATTAACACTAACGTTTAAAATTGACTCCAGATTGTTCATGTATCGGCCATTTCTATAAGATCCGATTCTATGGTTGTTGTATCGTCCATTTTATAAGATCCGATTCTAATACCTCTATTTATCATGTTACATAGGAAGTCAAAGTATAAGTAAACATTGTATCTAATTGGAAAAAACCTTGGGTTTGTTTAGCGATTTCTTACTAAATATATCCTATATTTGTCAAGATGTTTATTGGGATGAAATAACATAAAGATATAAAGTTGAATATCAAAATGATACAGCACAACAACCAAAACTTTTGCGAGCGAAACTAAACGTCAAGAAAGCGTATATAGCTGTCACCATCGTAAATTCGTTATAGATCATCAAACTTCACATATTGAGATTGTTCAATGTCAATCTTGGTCCGATCGTTTGTGTTCACGACTTTCTGTATGTCCGGAGTGAATTTCAGTCGAAGATCGCCTCCCATTTTCTCCCCGATCCTATGACTCCTTCATGTATTTGTCCATTCAATAAACTCATCTCTGTATTCTAGAAGATGCGAAGATGTATCTTTAGGTCCTGAGATGCTTTACTATATTGATCTTTCTGCTCTAAAAGATGCGTCACTGCTGTGACTTGCTGGTCGAGAAGATGCGTAACTATACATATCTTTCCGGTCGAGAAGATGCGTCACTATATGTGTCGCTGTGTTTATCATGCTGTAGACTTTTTTCATCCTCTGATATTTCATACCTACAATAGAATTGATTTCATTAATAAAAAAAAAAAAAAACAAATTTTTGAAAGTACAAAATTGTTTTGGTGTTTATATCAGTTTTGCAATCAAAAATACTTGGAATTGTAAACACCCGAAGTTTCTAGTAATTCTACATAATCGCTAATACATGTATATTGAACAGCCTAAAATGATGAATAGAGTATTTCCCTGTGTTAACTATTTAAGGAAAAGAGACATTTTAATGCATATAAAACGAATTTAAACGGTAAATTACACCGAAAAGCAAATAGCGATAAAGGATTAAGATAGCTTGCCAGGTAAGGTAATATACGCCCACTGGCAGCTTTGATTTTGAAAAATATTTAGCAGTACAGTAACAATCACTAGTATGAAATATTCAACCTTCAGTCATACACTTCTTTTAAACTCTTTAGGGCGATACTGAATAATATTGAGTATGAGTTATTGCCCTAGTTCTGGAAAACGTGTTCAATCTGTAGCTCGTGGAAACTCTCGAAGACAAATATTCAATCTTCAGCGCGGTAATGAATAATAAAACCAAGTTTTGTCAAAATTCGGCAAGAATCATACCTTCTAGAGTTTTTATGAGCTACAAATTGAACGATTTTTCAAGATCAAGGGCAATAACTCATACTAAATATTTTTTCGATTTTTCTCTTTTTCAATAGGGTTTATCCTTGGGTGGTAACCAACAGTCAATCCAAATTTCGTTGAAATCCGTCAAGAATTGTTCTTTCTAGAGTGTTTTCAAGAACAAGGGCAATAACTCATACTAAATATTTTTCAATTTTTTCTGTTTTTCAATACGATTTATCCATGGGTGATAACCAACACTCATGCCAAGTTCCGTCAAAATCCGTCAAGAATTGTGCCTTCTAGAGTGTTTACGATCTCAAAATTGAACGCCTTTTCAAGAACAAGGGCAATAACTAATACTTAATATTTTTCAAGTTTTCTGATTTTCGATAGGGTTTATCCTTAGGTGATTACAAACACTCACACCAAGTTTCGACAAAATCCAACAAGAATTGTGCCTTTTAGAGTGTTTACAAGCTAAAATTGAACGCATTTTCAAGAACAAGGGCAATAACTCATACTAAATATTTTTCAATTTTGTTTATTTTCGATAGGGTTTATCCTTGGGCGATAACAAACACCCAAGTTTCATCAAAATCCGTCATGAATTGCACCTGCTAGAGTGTTTACGAGCGTTTCAAGAACAAGGGCAATAACTCATAGTAAATATTTTTCTGATTTTCAATAGGGTTCATCCTTGGGTGATTACAAACAACCATAATAAGTTTCGTCGAAATCAGTCAAGAATTGTGCCTTGTAGAGTGTTTACGAGCAATTGTGGACGGACAGACGGACCGACGGAAAGAGGTGACGGCAATATACGTCCCCCCCCCCCCCCCCATTTCATGTGTGCGTATAAAAATGAATATTTAATAATACTATATTTTAAAAAGATAAGGTGTGTAGAAAATGGCACCTACACAAAATCTTCTAAAAGCATGTCTTCTGCTTCATCCTCTTTCTGCGAAGAAAGGTGAGGCCAATTTCATGTGTCCTTGGGCCATAAAATAAGCAAAATATTTGAGAGAACTGGAGCAGATAGAGAAGATTTGATAAAAAGGTATCTTACCACGGCTTCCATGATTGGTTTTCTTTTATTTTCTTTTTACTCTGAAAATTCAAAAAATATCATTTAACATCAAACTCGTGAAAGGTTGAATTTATACCATTATCTTTCCCAAAGTGTCTAGCAATACATTTTAATGGCATCTTGTTTAACTAAGAACACTATAAACTAGAACGGAGGCTAGATACCGGATGTCCCTCTAGGATTGCTTTTGTCAAAGCATTTTTAAGAATTCAAACTTTTTAGACTTTTAAATATCAATATTGCTTTGTGATGACGTTTAATTTAAAGAAGAAGCCTTAAAGAAATCTATCTGAAAATAGTAACGTATTTAAGATGACTGAATGATTTTGCTACAAGCTACGTTAGAAATTGATAGTTCGGATGAAATTCTATTTAAAGGTTACTTAATCCCTTTTGGATCTTTTAATAAACGTGTATTCAACCGAATGCCTTGGGGCTGATTGATGTGTGGTTTCTTAAGACCTGATACGTTTATCCGGTATGCTGTATTAATTTGGATTCAGGTTGCCGGTTGGTGATTACAACTCTGAACATTAGTTTCGTTTTATCATACCAATCAGCCTATTCATCACACATCAATTTTAGTTCTAAATGTAATAATAAGTAAAACTGGTTTGGTTGATCGTTATTTCAAAACTTGTTCAAGGGTTGGTCCCTCCCCCCCCCCCCTCCCGTGCTTCCCCTTAAGGAGCATAGGCACCAAAATAAAGCATTGTCGTACTTAAATATGTTACCATCTTAACAGCCCCTTCCTCCATCCCACTTACTCTTGCGTCTCTGTGTGAAAGTATTAGACATTGTTGCGGTAGATATTTATTCTTGAAGTGTTTATCTATAATGACATACATGGAATATATTATATCAGTTACATCGTTTCTCTAGAGAAATAACCTTATATGTACCAGGTCTAGCTCATTAAAATAAAGAGACAAAGTATTGAATATTCATTTCTTATGAAATATATTTATGATGTATGTTTGACCACAACTTTTATTTTAACTATCGGTCCAGTGAGATGAATTACTGATTCAACTGGACTCAGGATACAAATAATATCATTAAACCGCTCTTATTGGAGGATCTGTTAATGTCCCTTAATCCACTCTGACATTTCAGATATTTCGTTGAAAGGCAATAAAAGAAAGTAATACTTTTATCGTCTATATACCTAATTGATATTACATTTACAAGATGGCATCAGCTGTATTCATTTGTGCTTTTCAGAGACCTTCGTGTTTGATGCATTGATTTACTATTCTCGTTATATCAGAGAAGACCCAATTTCCATACCAAAACTGTCCTGATGGTATCAGAAAAGCATGCTGCTGAACTATCATAGTGTTTATATCTCACATCATTTAACCTGATGTTAAAACTCTTCGACTGGTTTTGTCAGCTTTATATTCCTTTTCAACAGATAAAGGCTGATTCTAGACAGTTGTTCAAGGATCTCAGTTGTCTAATTAGTCGAGGAATAGATTTTAACAGCCGTGTTTGTATTCTAGTTTTGTTTGTTGTAGGTTTTCTTTCAAAGTGCAGTTCGACACAGTACACCCTTGTCGTG